AAGCTAAATTATTTTCTGACTAAAGTAACTATCAGATCTAGTGGGAAAACAGAGGCATGCCTCTTGCCCAGGTTCACAAAGGACCCCACTCGTGCCCAGTTCTGTGCTGGCCTCAGCCGGTGCTGTGGGCTTTGCTGCTGCATTTTTTTGTGTGTGTTTTTTTAACTTGCACAAGAATCTCCAGTTGGTGACCTGGAGCTGTACAGAAAGTACCCCCGGTGTGTTCTGCTGTGTATTGGTGACCAGTCAAGCACACTTCCACTTCAGACAGCTTCAGATCTTTTTAAAATAAATTACAAGTTTATTAAAGTGTGTGATATAATTTCATGGCTTGGTAGTATAACCAAAGAAGATAAAAAAGGTTACATCACACCCTTCCAGGTGGAGCCAGCTTGTCTTTGCACATGAACAGATGGATTCTTACCTACTGGAATTATTATGCACCAATAAATACTAGCATAATTGTGAAAACATTAAATCCTGGTAACCGCCTGGATGCCTCAGTTGATCCCTTGACAATGATTTTAGGAGTTGGTGGAGGAGCCCCACCAAAGGCTTGTGTTACCCAGCTCCCGTTGCTGTTGCATCACTCAGACATGAGCTTTGTGCCTGTGTTTGCTGAGCTGGGTCCTCCCTGCACTCCCAGGACGGCTGCTTCCCAGAGCTACAGTGCCAGGCTCGGGTGGTGTTTCGTAATATTCAGGTGCTGACAAAAGGGTGTTTGCATACGGCCTGGTCACCCCTTCCTGGTTCCTAAGTACAAAAGGGCAAAGCTTCTGCTCCCCCCACCCTGCTGCGGGGTGCAGGGAGGAGCAGGAAGGGCTGAGTCTGGTTGCCAGAGCTTTCAGGCAAGAATACGTGAAGAACAAGCCATGGATGGCCTGACTGGCCAAACTCCAGCCCCCAGGAAAATGCTTTAAGGCTGTTGGGGGCACTGCCTCTTCATGGAGACCTCGGTCTCTGTGCTCTGCTAAGAGCTGCCAGCGTCCTGCTGCTCGCACTGAAGTCAGGCTCCAGGTTTGCTGCTGGGACAATGGCTCATACAGAGCTGCCACCTGCAGCCTTGCTGGCATGGTCAGCGTGGTGTTCAGAGCCCCCTTTGCTCAGTTCCCATGGGCTGTGCCCCAGCAGTTGCTCAGGGCTGGCACCACGTTCAATCAAGCAGACAGGGCTGCAGAGAGGGGATTGCACAGTGCTCCCATCACCTTCCCAGCAAGCAGCCAGCCCAGTGCACCCCAGCCAGCAGTGCAGAGAGCAGCCCAGGCCAGCGGGAGTCTTCTGGACAGCAATCTGCCAGCCTGGGTTCGTGCCTGGGAGTGAAGAGAGGCCCAGGTGTCTTTTCACTTTCCAGAAGGAAAAGACTCCTCTAATCCTCTTGTAATGGACTTGTCTGTTATTTTCCCCTTGCAGATGGTGCTTGCCCCAAAGGAATCCAAATAGTGGGAGGGGCAGGAATGGTTTGATTTGTATGGAAGGATGAACCAAAGGCTTTCAGATGCTGTGGCCAAGGGGTAATCAAGATACACGTAGATGAACAGTGCTGAAAAGAATGACAAAAAACAGGCTTCAAAAACTGGCAGCAGTCTGAAGCCAGTGCCACCAACAGCTGTAAGATTTTGAAGCCCTGGGCAAGGAGCAGTGGGATGTAAGCAGCAGCTCCTGGGTGTGTGGTGCTCTGAGCTAGGGGCAGAGCCCAGCAGCTCTCCCATGCTGCCAGTGGCTGGACTCAGGGAGCCTCACACGAGGAAAATGGGGTGCAGGCAGAGTGAGTGACCAGAGCACTGTCCCCGGGTGCAGCCCTCATCCTGGCCTGAGACCTGGACCTGTGAGGGGTTGAGAAGAGGCTCATTTATTCCATCACATCCCAGCATGAGGACTTCGAGCAAGGCAGGAGCAGTGCACAAAACTTAGTCTGTCACGTGCCTTTAAGTCAGAGCTCCAAAACTACTGTGCAAATCAGGTTCTCCTGGCAAGTGTATGTTGCCCATTTGTGAAGAGGTCAGGCTGGCTTTTAGTGGAAGCTGAGGCCTCCAGACTGGCACAGCAGGGTCTAGCAGTACCTTGGAGACTGAGCACCTCCAAGTCATTCTCCCCAAATCCAAAGAAAACTCTTGACCCTTCTGTTGAAGCACTAATCTTTCCAGGCAGCACGCTGGAGCTACCTGACATGTCAGCTTTACTGCTCTGGTTAAAAACACTGCGTGGGGGACTGGTAACCAGGAGCTGAATGGCTTGTAGGGGTATTTTTAGGAGCACACAGCTGAAGGAAAATAGTTTTAAAGGGCATGAGAAACTCAAAAATCTTGAGTGTTAGTTGCAAAAAGAACACTGTGGGAGTGTGACTTCCAAGTCCTCTGGCTGTGGAGCACTCCCAAACTCCCTGCAGCAAACCCAAACAGGCTGCAGACCCTGCAGATAAGGCTTTGGTTCAAACAGCCACAGAGGACTCCAAAGAAAACTCTTCAAAGCCATGCAAAGCTTCTGCTGTGCTGAGGGAGCACTGGTGGAACTGAGACAGGCTCTGAAGCTCAGACATTTCTTCTAGCTTTTTGTCTCTTCTTGTCTCTGTGACACAACTTATTATGTTAAGGAAGTAAAAATAAATCAGCAGTTTAAAGTGACCCTTGCAAAAGAGCAGGAAGAAGCAGATGAGCTTTTATCAGATTATTGAGATTTGTGCCCTTCCACATGTGATACAGGAGTCTGAAACAAGCGTTTGTTCTCAGAGGTAGAGCTGGAAAATCTTAAGCTCAGATTTGAAGGACAAGGACAGTAAAGCCACAAAGAGATTCAGTTTCCCCAACAAGAGTCAGGTAGGATAGAACAGTTGGACCAAGAGGCTCAGCTAAAAGACAAGAAGTATGTTTGGGAAAGTGATGATTTATTCTCCTTCCTTCAGCTCATTATGAAGTGGATTATTATTCTCAAGGCCAATCATAAGGCAAAAAAATGCTAACAGCCTCCCACACTCCTATCTGTAGAGCCAGTTACAGTAAGACTAGTGTAAGACTTCAACAACAGGAGATTTCTGGTGAGCATTTATACATATTCCACTTTCTAAGAAGCCTCTTTTGTAGGGCTGCCATACAGGTGAAATGCCCAACTCTGGAATTTTTACAATCCACAACAAAGTCATTAATGAAGAGTTCAATACTAGCTTAAATCAAAGGCACAAAGCCAAAGCAACACAACTCAGCAGGGTGGGGCAGTCTCACTAAATTTATCCTTTTTTGCTTTTTTTTTTTTAAATCCTTTTGTTTTATTCTTAATCTCCAGTTTGAAGCCTTCAGACAAAGCTCAGGTCCTCAGAGACACAAACCTGCTCCACAAACAAAAACACACAATGTGTTTCCTCCTATAACTCAACAGCATTTCCCTTCTTCACTGTTATGTCAAAGAAAAAGTCCTAGGAGCAAATCAGTTGTGCAGACAACAGCTACAGCTACTGGATTCCTCTGCACATGTTAACAAACTGATTTCCAGGGTTACTGGTGGCATGTGAACTGGAGGAACATTAACATTCAGCACAAACTTACCATGTCTGGCAAATGCAGGGTCCATCTGATGATAGAAGAAGGTGCATTTACATCATCTGTAACATTCTCCACTTCCATAAGCCATCATTAGAACATGGAATGATAAATACTCTTTTTAAAACACCTAAATAGTGGTCCCAAGGGCAACTTCTGCCTCCAGCAAATGGAATTCATCAGCATAAACAAAAAAAAAAGATTCATCTTTGCCAATCAAAGGTCAGAAATACCATAAAAATACACACCCCCCCCTCAGCCACTGGAAAATTAACTGTTAGAGATTTAAGGAGTTCCACTTCACAGCCCTAGATCTAGAGGGGACTGCACCTCACTGTCATTACCACCCACTTCCCATCACTCCATCCATGTGAGGGTAAAGAGTATTCTGGTGAGAACAACCTCTCCAAGAAACAGGAGCAAGCACATTTCTGAGAACCTGTCTGGGAATACAGGACTGTCCAAGTAGCTGCAAAACCAAAAGGAAAAGCACTACAGAAAGCTGATTTCCAAATTCATGGTTTAAAACTCTGTCTGGATGTATAAAGATGACAGATCCCAGTGCTCCCATAGGACTCTTTAAAAAAAAAATGTGTCTGCTTTGTCTTCAACAACTAATTCCACTGGGACCAGGAATTGTTGTAATACATTTAGATTGACTGCTTTGAATACTACTAATAAAAATTCTTAGAAGTACTCCTAAGGGAATAATAAAACAAAAATTGGAAAATTTCTTCACAGTCCAAAAAATGCTGAGTAACATAAATTTTGCTGTAAAGCTCTAAGCTTGTTTTGAGTTAGTGAACACCTTACAGTGCAGTATCTGCACAGGAGGGGAGGAAAGGAGGCTGCCAAAGAACTATACCCAATGTGCTCACAAGCTTTCCCAGTGCCCAACCCCAGAAAGCAGCTTTCAGTCAGAATACCTGAGTCTAACTGATGCAAATAATATATAAAACGTACGTGTAGTTTCACTTGTGTTTCACATTATCTCCTTCATTCCTGCAGATAAGTTAAAAAACTGCAATACCTCTACAAAATTATATACCACTTTGAGCCAAACCAGCAGCAAATTCTCTCCCATCATTCATTCCAGCCACAGCTTGAACATATTGTTCAAAGTGCTCTATAAAACTAAGACACTGTACAACAGATGCTCTGCTGCCACTTCCTCCTCCTCAGCTGCTGCAGCACAGCTTGGTAGTTTGGAATGAGACACCACCTGAACCACCACACGTCCTCAGGAAGGAATGACACTGACACGGAGTGTTTCAGTGAATCTAGAAGAAACCAGGCACCTGGAGGCTCATTCATCCTCTCCAGGGACAGTCCTGTGCTGCAGAACACCTCGCTGCATTCCTGATCTGAGTGAGGCTGCCAGAGGTGAGCCTGGTTCTCCAGAGCCTGATGACTCTGAGCCTCAGCACCAGGCACCCAGCTCTGCCTGGCACAGCCTGTCCACCCCGCAGCCAGGGATCACAGTTAAGACTCACATGACTTCTCCAAACCAGAGATGCTTTCCCAAAGGTTCTGTTTGTTTTCAACCAAAAGAAAAAAAGGTGCAATACAGCATCTCTCCTCAAACCCTGGAAAGTAAAGTGACTTGAAGGTACAGACGCCGCCCTGGAAGGTGCCCGGAGCCAGCCTAGGCTGGCACCCAGATGGGCAGTGGGTGAGCCTCTGTGTTGAAGACATATCTGTCGAGGTTGATCAGGTCTATGTCATCTGAGAACAGCAGGAACAGGTACTTGAGTGTCTCCCCCAGGAAGAAGCTCTCCATCTTGTCCCGTGGCTCTGGATTGCTGGGGTTTTGGACATTGTTAATGGAAGTGTAACCACCTGTAGGGACCTGTGCAAAAAAAACAAAGAAAGTGGAAATTTTGTATATTTCAAGAATTATTTTCATTTCTTAACACCAGATGCACTTGGAGGAAATAAGTGCTAAGAAACAGAGCAGCTTGTTTTTCATCTCATGCTTGTTTTTCACTTACATATAAAAATTCAGTTATGAAAAAAAAATTCATGGCATTTCAAAAGAAACCTCAAGAACAAAAGGAAGCCAGAGGTCCCCTTATGCTTCATTTAAAGAGGTATCACAAAAAGCATCCTCCTGAAGCTTCTGGCCAAATGCACAGAAAGTAACTGGTGTAACTTCTGCAGGAGTTGGTCACAGCACCACACCTATTCTCCTAAGAACAGGCCCTGGATATTGAATGACCTCTGGCACCAGGCCACACTTTTACAGCCTGTCAGAGCTGTATCTCCACGAGGGCTCTAGTCAGGATGAAAACAAAAACTCTTCTATTAAAGTATTAATGCCATTTTGTGGTTTGGGTTTATATTTTCAACCAAAAGTTTCTTTCAGTCCATCCAGGTCCTTCCCAGGTTCTGAATTCCAAACCAGACCACAGCAGGGATTCTAACAGCTCCCCAGAAGACACAGACACACCTTGGTAGTCTGCACATTTTGCCTCTGCATTTTGGTTTTTAATCAATGTAATACAAGTTCTGTCCCTGAATGTACCAAGTAGTGGATCTCCAGCTGTAAGGCACTGCACAAACTGAATTCTTCAGTGTGTTCTTACAAATTTCCC